TTATGCCTCAAATCATGCCCTGTAAGACAAGGTGTGAGAGATATTTTTTTAATACCGTCTCTCCTCATGTTTTCTTCCCTTTTCTCATCTAAGCAAAAATATTATTCTGAGAAAGAATAAGAAGGCCACGCTTATAGCAGCAGCTTTGTGCACTACGCCCATCTTTCAGACAACTGTACATGTTCTCGTTGTATCTCAGTGCAATGATAATAAAGCTTATTCTGATTCTGAAAATTTAGGGCCCTCTGAAGACTTGAGGCCCTCTGAAGACTTGGGGTCCTCCGAAGACTTGGAGAAATTTGAAGACTTGGGAAACTCTGGAGATGAGGAAGAGCTGTGAGAGGCGTCCTTATGGACTCTCTCGGAGAAAGAATGAGAGGTGTCATATGGGACTCTCTCAGGGACACTGAGTACTTTGAGGGGTGTCTTTCTGGACCCTCTTGGGGAAAAGATGAGAGGTGTCCCCCAGGACCCACTCAGAAACACTAGGAGCAGGTGGGCCATTGTAACCGCCACCCATTGAGACACAGGAAGGAGCAGGCAGTGAGGGAGGAGGGTCAGTGGACTGGGCTTGGGTCCAACGTCAGCCCCTCTTTCAACGGCATCGAGAAGAGACGTGGAGAGGAGCTGATCCCTCAGGCGATTCGGATGAAGCGCTGAGCTCGCTGCAGGTCAGAGCAGCAGGCAGTGGGTGAATAGACTCCAGCACACTCTTTTCGTCCAGCACCTTGTCCAGGAACTCCTTCATTCATGGAGCATCGGAGAGTCCAGGAAGGCAAAAAAATTGCCGATCATGTCCTCTGTGGCCACCCATTATAACCACAGATTGCTGGAGGTAGCCATCGTATCCACATACTGGGATGTTACCCTGAGTAGCTGTCGCTCGTCCTCCGGGGAGAGTGCAGCCAGGAATGGGCAGCCTGCTGGGTTCATTGATTGGTCTGAGGATTCTCTCATGATCTGGTGCCGGGTTGAACCCAAAGTGCAGGCGAACACAGGGAACTCGGGTAAAATAAAGAATAATATTTAATGATTACAAAACAAGAGCTGACGTGGCAGCAAAACTTGCTTGTAGGAAACAAGGGGATCACGAGAGGAGCAGAGACAGATCATGACACCAATAGGAGGATAATCCTCAGACAGGGGAACAATAACAAAACGTAGGATCTATAAGAACACTAATGAGGGGGAAAACACAAACAGCTGGGAGAAACAACAGCTGGACGGCAGACGCTAATTACTGTACTTGAAGAAACTACATAAAGGCATGAACAGAGCACAAGGGGAAGATGACACACAAGGGACATAATCACTGAATGACTGTCTAATGACTGTCAAATTTACTTCCCCCTGAAGCACACTGGTGAACATTCTGTTCAGCCTTTTCTTGACTGCCTGGCTGACACTAGGGACTGGATGGCTCTAAATTTCTTAAGTTTCAATGAGAAGAAGATTGAAGTCATGTTGTTCCCTCCTAATGGCACGATCAAGAACCACTGCATTGACCTTTCCTCTCTAGCCCCGTTAGAGGAAAAAAAGTGTCACAAATCTGACAGTGATAATGGACTCTTCCATGTAACTTAACAGTCATGTAAACACGATTGTTAAATCCTTTTTCCAGCTGAGGCGTCTGTCTAAGCTGAAGCCCATACTGTCCAAAAATAACCTTGAGACAGTAATACATGCATTCATAGCATCTAGGTTCGATTATTGCATTGCGCTTCTTTTTGGAATCATCCAGACCTCCATCACACGATTACAACTGGTCCAAAATGCTGCTGCCCGATTTTTAACTGGTACAGGCAAAAGAGAGCACATTACACCAGTTCTGGTCTCCCTTCACTTGTTCCCGGTTCACTTTCAAATTCAGTTCAAAATACTCCTGTAAGCTTTCAAATCTCTTAACAGTTCTGACCCTTCTTATTTTGCTGATCTGCTGCAGCCATATATCCCACAGCGATCTCTGAGGTCAGCAGATCAGATGCTCCTAGTGGTTCCAGGAACCCGTCGTAAGCTCAGAGGTGACAGGGCCTTCTCTGTTGCAGGTCCAAGACTGTGGAATGATTTACCACTACATGTCAGGCAGGCTCCCTCTCTCACTGTTTTTAAGTCTCGCTTAAAAACCCATTTATATTCCCTGGCTTTTGACACAGTGTGATTTGTTTTTAATCCTGTCTGTACTCTACAATGTTAGCCTTTTAGTTATTATCTTTTTTACAAACCGGATTCCAAAAACGTTGGGACACTAAACAAATTGTGAATAAAAACGGAATGCAATGTGGAGGTGCCAACATCTAATATTTTATTCAGAATAGAACACAAATCACAGATCAAAAGTTTAAACTGAGAGAATGTATCATTTTAAGGGAAAAATCTGTTGTTTCCAAATTTCATAGCGTCAACAAATCCCAAAAAAGTTGGGACAAGTCCATATTTACCACTGTGTGGCATCCCCCCTTCTTCTTACAACACTCAACAGACGTCTGGGGACAGAGGAGACCAGTTTCTCGTTTAGAAATAGGAATGCTCTCCCATTCATGTCTAATACAGGCCTCTAACTGTTCAATCGTCTTGGGCCTTCTTTGTCGCACCTTACTCTTTATGATGCGCCAAATGTTCTCTATAGGTGAAAGATCTAGACTGCAGGCTGGCCATTTCAGTACCCGGATCCTTCTCCTACATAGCCATGATGTTGTGATTGCTGCAGAATGTGGTCTGGCATTATTGTGTTGAAAAATGCAGGGTCTTCCCTGAAAGAGATGACGTCTAGATGGGAGCATATGTTGTTCTAGAACCTGAACATACAGTAGTTCTCTGCATTAATGGTGCCTTTCCAGACATGAAAGCTATCCATGCCACAAGCGCTCATGCAACCCCATACCATCAGTGATACAGGCTTCTGAACGAAGCGTTGATAACAACTTGGGCTATCCTTGTCCTCTCTGGTCCGGATGACATGGCGTCCCAGTGTTCCATAAAGAACTTCAAATCGTGACTCATCTGACCACAGAACAGTCTTCCATTTTGCCACACTCCATTTTAAATGACCCCTGGCCCAGTGCAAACGTCTGAGCTTGTGGAGCTTGCTTAGAAATGGCTTCCTCTTTGCACTGTAGAGTTTCAGCTGGCAACGGCGGATGGCACGGTGGATTGTGTTCACTGACGATGCTTTCTGGAAGTATTCCTGAGCCCATTCTGTTATTTCCTTGACAGTGGCATTCCTGTTTGAGGTGCAGTGACGTTTAAGGGCCCGGAGATCACGAGCATCCAGTAGAGTTTTACGGCCTTGACCCTTACGCACAGCGATTGTTCCAGATTCTCTGAATCTTTTGATGATGTTATGCACGGTTGATGATAACTTAAAAGTCTTTGCTATTTTACGCTGGGTAACACCATTCTGGTATTGCTGCACTATCTTTCTGTGCAACAATGGTGGAATTGGTGATCCTCTTACCATCTTGGCTTCTGAGAGACACTGACACTCTGAGAAGCTCTTTTTATACCCAATCATGTTGTCAATTGACCTAATTAGTGTTAATTGGTCTTCCAGCTGTTCGTTATATGCTCAGTTATATGCTCAGTTTCCTTTTTCCAGCCACTTATTGCTACTTGTCCCAACTTTTTTGGGATTTGTTGACACTGTGAAATTTTGAATCAACATATTTTTCCTTTAAAATGTTACATTTACTCAGATTAAACTTTTGATCTGTCATCTATGTTATATTACGAATAAAATATTGACATTTGCCATCTCCACATCATTGCATTCAGTTTTTATTCACAATTTGTTTAGTGTCCCAACTTTTTTGGAATCCGGTTTGTAATTTGGATCTATGTTTTTATCCTGCGTCCTCTGCTTGTTTGTTTTTCCTGTGCGGCACTTTGGTTGGCCTTGCTGCTGTTTTAAGCGCTTTATAAATAAAGTGGTATGGTATAATCCTCACAAATCTTGGTTAAAATAGGGTCACAAACCTGAACAATGGTCCCAAAACACAGCAACAAATTTTCAAAAGAATGGTAGAAAAATAAAAGAATTTTAACCCAGAATGATAATGCTGTGGTGGGGCCTGAAGACAGCTGTGCACAAAAAAATGTTTACAAACTGCAACGAGCTGACACAATGCTGCAAAGAAGATTACAACCGAAATCCTCTATAATTATTTGAAAAATGGACGAGTCATACAAGTGACTAGTGTTTATTCATCTTCAACGCAATCTGATTTTCAGGTCTCTTGTAAACGAGTCCTCGAGGCTCAATGGGATTTACCTGTCTAAATAAAGGTTGAATGAATGATGCTTCCTTAGATAAAAATTCATATTAATTGGCTTTTAAAATGTATATGAATGTTGCTGTTCAGTGCCTTGAGATGACTCGTGTTGTGACTTGGCACTATATAAAAATAAACTGAATCGAACTGAATTCCGCGACCCGACTTGTGAACGAGCGGAAGATAATGGATGGATAGACGAATTTAATTTTATTATTGCTGCTATAGTTGGTTCTACAAACAGTTGAATTCCCTACACATTCTCTGAAAAAATAAGTCAAGAAAAAGTTTTTTTTTTTTTAAAGGAAATATAATGTAAAATAATGAATAATTGTGACATGTTTGAAACTATCAAACGTGACTTTGTGTTGTTAGTTTGAAGTTGTACCTGTATGAATTCTGTTCTAGAGGTGCCAGTTCTGTGTAAAAACTGATTTAGCTTGTGATATGCAAAACCTTAGAATTAAAGGATGTGATTTACAATACCTTTACTGTTGAACGATGCATGAAAAAAATAAATTGTAACGCAAAACAAAGTGTAAAAATAGCAATTCACTGAGATAACCAAATATAAGATAGACTGGTACAAACAAGTGCTTAAAAACCAATTTTAAATAATCTGTCTTAAAAAGTTGTTTTGCTGCTGACAGACAGTGAGCAAACCCTCTGCAGGTGGACCTCTGGAGGTTCAGTGGACTTCTACCTGACAGTCTGGGATCTTGGGTCATTTACCTGAGCGCTCCGCTGAAGAGACATGCCACAAACAGCCCTGGGAGGCCAGGAAGATCTCTGAACACATCCATTACAAAATACAACACCATCTGCATAGAGAAGCTCAGCATCAGAAGAGCGTCCCTCTCTTCATGTTGCCACACCCTGAAATCTCCAAGGCTCACCTGATCATTGGTTTCGACATAGCCCTTGTCCAAAGGACTGTCCTCTCCATAACGAGCAAACATCACCAGACCCATAAGACAACCCAAACAAAGAACGATTTGCTGGCATGGAAAAACTACGTAGCAGGACCTGAGAAGGCATGAGGGGTGGACAAATGGCTGTCAGGAACATCATAGTTTGCTTTTTAACAGCAGCAGTAAGTCAAGAATGTGTTGAAATGTATTGCTCACATGACAGCTTCCTTCTCAGTGCGAGAACTGAGGTATCTTTGGACCTGAGCTTGATTGACTCCGTACAGAGCCAACATGAGAAAGACACCCCCAACACCCAGAGTCCAAAAGGTGTGCCGCTGCAAAGGGTCTGGGTTCAGACTGCAAAGAGACACAGAGAGTTGCATCATTTCTGAAATGCTGATTTTCAAAAATGCAGAAGAAAAGAAAAGAAAAATGCACAGAAGAAAAGTCACGTTTCCCTGACCTTTCCTCATATATGTTGTATCCATGTTGCACGGTACAACAAACACTCATAAAGTTCACAACATACTCTCACTGGTGCTGGAAACAAAATGAAACTGCATGAGCCTAAAGTGCCTCTAACAGCCTCGTGTGTTTCACAGAGACATGGCTGAACCAGGACACTATGATATATTTTTAATATATTAATATATTATATAATAGCCAAAACGTGTGTGTGTGTGTGTGTGTGTGTGTGTGTGTGTGTGTGTGTGTTTTCAGTGATAAACTTTGGGAATCCTGTCACTTTATTCACATTTGTTGGGTTTGACATTTTGCGTTCCAGCAACTGTTTGTTTGGATCCGGTAACTCTCAGCCTGACTAGTAATAAAGTTATGAACAATTATGACTGCCTTGTTGTTTGGGGAGCCATGCTTGAACCGTGTCGCTCCCCTCTGCTGCTGAGACGATAAATAGATAACTCGGACACCTCACTGCTGTTTTCATGACGCTCTGGACGCTTGTCACCCACAGCACGCATGTGACAGAGAGTAAAACTCAAAGCGAGATGATACCTGCCTCCTCTTTCACGTTGACAAAATGTTTTAGTTTTATCAATGAGTTTGTCAAAGCAAAATTTTGATGTTTTTTGTGTGTGTGTGTAAATACAGAAGTAACGTTAATAAACGTTAGGACTTTATTCTTTTCTAACACAATATATTTATGTTATTAAACAACTTGTCAGGTTCTTCTCTCGTGAGCATGCGTGTCCCCAGGACCCCGCCCCCCACACAGCCAGTCCGCCTGCTATTTGCGTTCCGGCATCCACCGGTTTACAAATTAAGCCCTGCTCCAAACACGTCACAGTCGGGATGGTCCTCGGACATGAGGAATACTACACGATGATTGGCTGCTCCAACTGACTGCCTGCGCTCAAAGATCATCTGTATGATGTCACAGGCCAAGCTCATGGCCCGTAACAAAAAAGAGGGGAGACAAAGGTATAGGCCTCTACAGGTCTCTCTTGTAAATGAGTCCTTGAGGCTCAATGGGAACTAACCTGTATAAATAAAGGTTGAATGAGGCTAATTAAAATAGTTTTATTGAACAATATAATGAAAACCCAAACAAAGACAACTGAAGTCACCCGCAGACCGGAAGTGGCCCGCGGGCCGCCAGTTGAATAGCCCTGCTCTACACTCTGTTGAGGAGGTTTGGGACAGGACACTGGCAAAGCTATTTTCCATCGTGTCCAACTCCTCCCACTCCCTGCACAGCACTGTAGTGTCTCTGAGCACCTCCTTCAGCACAAGACTTCTATGTCACCAGTACAGGAAGGAGCATCACTGCAGCTCATTCCTGCCCACACTCAGACTATACACAGTGGTGCTTGAATGTTTGTGAAGTCTTATAATTTTCTATATTTCTGCATAAATAAGACCTAAAACATCATCAGATTTTCACACAAGTCATAAAAGTAGATAAAGAGAACCCAGTAAAACAAATGAGATAAAAGTATTATACTTGGTCGTAGGCCTGTCACAATAACAAATTTTGCTGGGCGATTGTCTCAGAAATTATTGCGATAAACGATAATGTTGTTTGAAATTTGACAATAATTAGTAATTATTGTCAAATTTAAGAAGAAATGTTGGGTAATTAGTTTTGAGTGTAGTACCGTTTTTGACCACTGGATGTCAGTATAAGACTGAGGATGGATAGTGAGGGAGAGCAGCGTGTCTTTTTAAGAAAAATGGGAGGGAGGCCCCTTGACATCACATGGGCAGCCTCTCCTTCCTTTTATTTTTGGTTCTCAAAATGGTGGACGCTTGGTGTGGTCTAGTATTGCACTCGGGTCCAAATAATCCAAACCGACCCAGCCCGCAGCCATCATCTCTGAACCCCACCCGATCCGACAAATTAACAGTAATTACAGGTCCGAACCCGAACACCCCCCCCCCCGGACATTAATTAAGCTTTGACTGCTTATACCACCGACTATTATTAACGGTTGGCAGACGCGCGCAGCTGAGTACAGGGGCAAAAGACCGGAGCTGAGGAGCTCTCAAAGCGCATTAAATGCTTCCCCTGCTTCTGCCTGCATTGGACCATGCTCTGACATGTTGGCTATTTTGTGACTTCACCTGTTTGGGTCATCAGCCGTGCGCGTCCACTGAGTGCAGCCGCTGAATGAACTTGGGCTGATGGATCGATGGAAGTAGTCCATCTGAAGCTTAACCAAATTTTTTTACCTCTTTCAACTGGCCGGTCAGCGTGCCGTGAAATGGCCGCATGCGGCAGGTGCTGTATGGCAAGCCATGTTTGCATATACTGGATCGTTGGCCGCTGACACAATAAAAAGCCTGACACCGACCCGGCCCACACATTAAGCACATTATGGCCCGGCCCGAATCCGGGTCGGGCGGGGCTGGGCTCCAGGTTTGGGTTAGAAATGACATCTCTCGTGTGGTTTGAGCTCTTTAGCATAGCATTTTTCACACAAAGCTTTTAATAAGAAATCAGTAAACAAGTTCTCAGCTTCTTTTTACAGAGAAAAAAACTTTTTACACGAAGGCACGAGTTTCAACAGTGAATTCTGGAGCTTCGTCAAGATGGAGGTTTATTCCCGAAGTCAGCCTGTTAGCTTAGCTTGTAGCTTAGCTTCTCAGGTAAGCTGCTTTTAATGCTCCAAAAACACGATTTTGGACGATTAAAACAGATTTTAAAGAAAAAAGATAAAAGAAAAAGGGAGGGGTCAGTGAAGAGCACCAGAGATGAGCCTTTTGTCGTCCAGTGTCTTCAGTAGAAAGAGAGACACGAAAAAAACGATAAAAGGTGATGAAAACAAGGTCGATAATTTTTATTCATCATGCGATTAATTGATTTATTGTTTATCGTGACAGGCCTACTCAGTCGTTTATTTATTGAGGAAAATGATCCAATATTGCATATTTGTGTGGCAAACCTGTGTGTGTGTATGCCAGTGTATCTCACCACAACATTAGCAGGAGTCGTCCTCTTCCCTCAGTGCCACACCAGTAATAAATAGTAAAACAGAACTAAGTTATTGCTCTTAAGATTAATTTCCTCTGGTGTTTGTTCTAGGAATGCCAGTGAAAGTGCATTGAAAATTTTATAATTTATATACTCATCACTAATCTGCACCAAAACATGTACAATTTGTACCATTCTTTCTGGGTGATTTACCTTTTGTTAGTGAGTGCAAATAGTTTACTCAATACTCACTCTAGTCCAGCAATGCGGCTGCTGTTGACTGCTTTCTTCCAGACCTCCGCTATACCTCCAGCCTGACTGGCCCCTACAACAATGACAGCCAGCTGGCCTGCAAACATCACCACTGTCTGGAACACATCAGTCCAGATCACTGCTTTTAGGCCCCCCTGGGAGACAGCAACACATAGACTGATTACTTTAAAGCTCATGATCAAAAATAAACACTCAACTGTCATAAAATCTGTTCAGATACAAATGGATGTTTGGAAAATACTTCCAGTTGTTTTCAAAAGCACACATTTAGTCATCCATTTACTTTTTGCACTGTATTTAGATTATATGTTATTACAGTCAACAATTAAAATATACTGTGTGAAAATTTTAGCAACTTACCAGAACAGTATACAAAGTACACACTAATCCCATGGCCAATACTGCCCCCCACAGGTCAAACCCTGTCACTGCAAGTAAACGTAAAACATCACCAAACAAACAGCTATGAAATGCTTTACTATAATTGAACCGTTATAAATGTACAATGTTATGTTTTGAACAGTAGGACAGTGTAATAAAATCTAACAGAAGAAAAGCCACCTGCGTTCAGTGCCAGTGCTGGAGCATACAGAACCACCCCCATATAAATGACCTGCAGAGGGACAGAACAGCTCCGTCAAACAGGACACCTTTCACTTTGTAATGTTCACAAAAATTAAACCCAGTACGTTCAAACAGATTTAAATTTAAGGCCTAGCATTCCTTGAAGGTTGACTAAAATGACTTCTGCAGGTTTAAAACGTTACTCTAAAAAGTAATAGTGGTTTGTGCAAACGCTGTCACGAAGGCCTTTATTTACCACCATATATTTAACGTTACACAGTTACTGTAGCAGAAATAGTTTTAATGTTTCTGCAGGAGTCCCAGGCTGCATCATCACTTCAGCTACCTAATGCTACTTTCAAATAACCACAGTTTTTATTTATAACTGTAACGCCAAACTGATGGTCCTGCAAATATTTAGGAAATGTTTGCATGAATCTAAGTAACATTTCTGAGATTGAGTTTGCCCAAGAGTTAAAACTCCTCTGTTCATGGTTCCTGCAGCTGTGCATATGTCACAGCTGCAGGAACCACAGACTCATGGTCTAGTTTCTGGGAAAAATGTCTACACCTCTGTTTGTGGTGTGGGAGGGAGAACAGCGTGTGTGTGAGGGGGAGGGGCTTTGGGGTACAGCTGTCATTTCTAACCCGAACACGGAACCCGGATTCGGACCGAACCGGCCCATAATAATGTGCTTAATGTGTGGGCCGGGTCAGTGTCGGGCTTTTGATAGCATCAGTGGACACACGCGGCTGATGATCCAATTATATGTCAACATAGCTTGCCATACCATCACCAGCCGCACGCGGCCATTTCACCGCGCGCTAACCGGCCTAGAAAAAGGTAAACGTTTCAGATGGACTCCTGCCAGTGATCCATCAGCACAAATGGACGTTCAATAAGCCGCTGCACTAGGAATGGACGATACGGCCAAAACTTTTGTCACGATATATTTCTTAATTTCAGTAGATAACGATATAATTCCGATATCGAAAAAACAATATAAAAGCCTCAGAAAACTGTACTAACTAAAAATAAATTAATGTTCACCTTTTATTTGTATTTAGCCTTCAAAGAAATTTGAAATCACCGTCAAATAAACATAAAACTCTCAATCCAAAAAAAGTTCAATCTGGTCATCTGGACATTCAAAAAAAATAAAAATAAACAAAACAAAGCAAAAAAAAAAATGTAGAAACGTTTTGTCTCTCATCCTGAGGACTTCCTCAGTCTGAGGTGCTGTATGCACCTTCTCAGAGTGGATCAACCAGTTTTGCTGCTGACAACCAAAACCAGCTGATCACATGCTCAAGAAGGACCATCAGCCTAACAATGGATCATTAGCACCTGATGGCTGTTTACTATTCACGGGGCTGAGTGATACTAGCAATCACAGCATTGTAAGAGGGGGACAGTTGAACACGGAGGCTCCACCCCTGTTTAATGATGGACGATTTCTTTTCACAAAGATGGCCTCCTTTACTCCTCTCTCAAACCATCGTTCCTCTCTGTCCAGGATGTGAACATCTTCGTCCCTGAAAGAGTGACCGCTGGCCTGGAGATGAGTGTAGACCTCAGAGTCCTGGCCTGATGATGTTGATCTTCTGTGCTGGGCCATCCTTTTGGCCAGTGGCTGTTGAAGGATGGCCCAGCACAGAAGATCAACACCATCAGGCTAGGACTCTGAGGTCTACACTCATCTCCAGGCCAGCGCTGTAACTGTAACATTTCTTGCCTTGATTAAATACAATTGGTAAACTGAATTCATGTTTCATTGATTTATTGCGATAGTGTGAGTTGCTAGTTCTGAGGGAGGTCCGAGCTGGGAGTCGTGTGAGCTGGAGGCGGGCCTGGGGTCCGAGATGAGGCCTGAGGCCCACAGCTAGCAGCAGCAGCAAGCAGCAGCTAGCAGCAGCAGCTTGAGCTGTTCGGGTTGAAACTGACGCGGCCGCTTCAACCCGAACAGAAAAAGAAATGTCAGTGAAACGCTGTAATCCTATCGAAATATCAAAAATGTGCTTAAAACTCACATCATCGTTATCGAATAAAAGTATATCATGACATATTTCAATATCGAATTATTGTCCAGCCGTGCACTGCACTCGGAGGGCGCGCACGGCCGACGACCCAAACAGGTGAGATCACAAAATATCCAACATGTCAGAGCAGGTCAAACGTTCATGCTGCCAGTTGAAGCCGTGCACCAGCGTTCTGTACCCTCTGAAGCTGACAGATGCACGAGTCACTTGTATCCGAGATCTCATTCTTTCGGTCACAACCCAAAGCTCATGACCATAGATGAGGGTGGGAACGTAGATCGATCGGTAAATTGAGAGCTTCGCCTTTTGACTCAGCTCTCTCTTCACCACGACAGACCTGTACAGCGCCCGCTTCACTGCAGACGCTGCACCTATCCGCCTATCGATCTCACGCTCCATTTTTCCCTCATTCGTGAACAAGACCCCAAGATACTCGAACTCCTCCACTTGGGGTAGGACCTCCTCCCTGACCCGGAGAGGGCACTCTACCCTTTTCCGGCTCAAGACCATGGCCTCGGATTTGGAGGAACTGATCTTCATCCCGGCCGCATCGCATTCGGCTGCGAACCGCTCCACCGAAAGCTGTAGATCACGACCTGATGAAGCCAATAAGACCACATCATCTGCAAAAAGCAGAGACGCAATCCTAAGGCCACCAAAACGGATCCCCTCAACACCTTGGCTGCGCCTAGAAATTCTGTCCATAAAAGTTATGAACAGAATCGGTGACAAAGGGCAACCTTGGCAGAGTCCAACTCTCGCCGGGAACAAGCCCGACTTACTGCCGGCGATGCGGACCAGGCTCTGACACCGGTCATACAGGGACCTAACAGCCCGTATCAAAGGGCCTGGTACCCCATACTCCCAGAGTACCCCCCACAGGGCCCCCCGAGGGACGCGGTCGAACGCCTTCTCCAAGTCTACAAAGCACATGTAGACTGGTTGGGCAAACTCCCACGCACCCTCCAGGACTCTGCTGAGAGTGTAGAGCTGGTCCAGTGTTCCACGGCCAGGACGAAAACCGCACTGTTCCTCCTGAATCCGAGGTTCGACTATCCGACGGACCCTCTTCTCCAGAACCCCCGAATAGACCTTTACCAGGGAGGCTTAAGAGCGTGATTCCCCTGTAGTTGGAACACACTCTACGGTCCCCCTTTTTGAATAGGGGGACCACCACCCCGGTCTGCCAATCCAGGGGAACTTCCCCCAATGTCCACGCAATACTGCAGAGTCGCGTAAGCCAACACAACCCTACAACATCCAGAGCCTTAAGGAACTCTGGGCAAATCTCATGCCCACTCTCATGTGTAGCATGTAGACATTTAGGGTTCGGGGCGGAGATGAGGGGTGAACGGGCACCGCCTGCTCTCTGGGCAAGAGGTGGGTCTGTGCCGATCGCCACCTCATCCCCCCATTTTAAAAGCACTGTATAACATGCATCAACACCATATTCGAGTGGGAGGAGGAGGAAGTGGGTCTGTTCATAATTTATTTATGCATATATAGATTATTATTATTATTTTTTTATTTAGTTATTTTTTTATTTTATTTTATTTTATTTTTTTCACAAACACCTCCTTTCTCCGTGTGACACTAGGGGTCTGGGATGGAGGGGGAGGGGGGCGCATTGTTGGGGTCTGGGCTGTGGGTGGGCTTTGGGCCCTGGGGGCGGTCAGTGATGGGGCCGGTGCTTCGGTTCCTCCTGGGCTGTTCCGATTCTTTTAATCTAGGTTCCTGGTTGTGATGGCCGGCACTTTGACCGGGATGGCTGCCGGCTTTCGGCGGGGGGTCGGCTATGGTAGTGAACGTGTGGTCATTGGTGGTGTAGGGCGGCGGTTGGGGGCGTGGCTTCGCCTCATCGGGGCACTGGCTGGTCTTCCTGTGTGGCATTTGCGGTGGGGGTGCTGTGTGTGTGGGGGGGTGCATAGGTGGCGTGCTGGGGCGTCTCCGGGCCTATGGTGCGGGGCTCTTGATGTGGGGGCCGGCCCTCCTCAGCTGCGGCTCCCTGCTGCTCTGCCCTTTGGGCTGGGGCCGGCCTGTGGTCGCTGTCAGGTAGATGGTGCATGCGGTCGGCCCGACAGAGATTCTGTCGGGCTATCTGTGTGTGCCTGTTGGTTGCTCATGTTGGGTTTTTGGTGGTCCCCCCTCTCTTGGATCAATTTGGGCCCCACATTTGGTGTGGGGCCCACTCCCCCCGGTCGTGCCCCCCTTTGGCGGGGGACCCCCTTGCCGCCGGTGCATTGGTGGCTCTCGGTGTCTGGGCTGGGTGGTGGGGTGCACGTCAGTCTGCCCTGGTTGCTGCCTGGCGGGGCCTGGGTGCCCTGGCTCTGTCGGGGCTCTGCCGGGGGGGTGGTATGGCCTCGGGGCTTGGGGCTCGGTGTCCATGGCCGGATCTACTTGGGGGGGGCATGGGTCGCCGGCCGGACCTGTGGGCTCGTCGCTGCAGCTTCCTGGAGGCTCTGCATTGTTGTGGCTGGGGTCACCCGGTTCTTTCCTCTGCTCCTCTCTGGGGGGGTGCGGTTCTCCCTGTTGGGAGACTCCTGGGGCTCCGGGCCTGTGGGCCGCTGTGTGTCTGTGGCTCCGGTCCTCCCTATGTTGCCATTGTGTCCTGGGGGGACGGGTCTGTGGGCCCCCGCGTCCACTATTGGGCATTCTTTTGGAGAAATCTGGTGGTGGCAGGCGTGCTTGCGCGGGTGTTTGGATTCAGGTGCTTTGACAGATGCACGCTAGGTTGGGTAGTGGTGGAAGCTAGATGATTCCTTGTGCGATGTCGAATGTTTCATGGTGATATTGTGGGTGGCATTGTGCTGTGCATGTTGTTTTGTCGTGGTGGTCTCTCGTTTTATCTATTTCTCTTTTATTATTTAATTATTCTTCTTTCTTCTCTTTCTTTAAAAAAAAAAAAAAAAAAAAAAAAAAGGAACTCTGGGCGGATCTCATCCACCCCTGGGGCCCTGCCACCGAGGAGCTTTTTAACCACCTCGGTGACCTCAGCACTAGAGATTGGAGGGCCCGACCCAGAGTCCCCAGGCTCCGCTTCCTCAGTGGAAGACGTGCCGGTGGGATTGAGGAGGTCTTCAAAGTATTCCGCCCACCGACCCACAACATCCCGAGTTGAGGTAAGCAGCACACCACTCCCACTATAAACAGTGTTGGTGGCATGCCGCTTTCCCCCCCTGAGACGCCGGATGGTGGACCAGAATCGTCTCAAAGCCGTGCGGAAGTCGTTCTCCATGGCCTCTCCGAACTCCTTCCATGCCCGAGTTTTTGCCTAAGCAACCACCCGAGCCGCATGTCGCTTGGACTGCCGGTACCCATCAGCTGCTTCCGGGGTCCCACAGGCCAAAAAGGCCCGATAGGACTCCTTCTTCAGCCTGACAGCATCCCTCACCGGCTGTGTCCACCATCGGGTTCAAGGGTTGCCGCCGCGACAGGCACCGACAACCTTGCGGCCGCAGCTCTGGTAAGCCGCCTCGACAATAGAGGCACGAAACATAGTCTACTCAGACTCAATGTCCCCCACCTCCCTTGGAACATGTTCAAAGTTCTCCCGGAGGTGGAAGTTGAAACTCCGTCTCACAGGAGACTCTGCCAGACGTTCCCAGCAAACCCTCACAATACGTTTGGGCCTGCCAGGTCTGACCGGCATCCTCCCCGACCATCGGAGCCAACTCACCACCAGGTAGTGATCAGTTGACAGCTCCGCCCCTCTCTTCACCCGAGTGTCCAAGACATGTGGCCGCAGATCAGATGAGACAATGACAAAGTCGATCATCGAACTGCGGCCTAGGGTGTCCTGGTGCCAAGAGCACATATGGACACCCTTATGCTTGAACAAGGTGTTCGTTATTGACAATCCATGACGAGCACAGAAGTCCAACAACAGAACACCACTCTGGTTCAGATCAGGGGGGCCGTTCCTCCCAACTACACCCCTCCAGGTCTCACTGTCATTGCCCACATGAGCATTGAAGTCCCCCAGCAGAACAAGGGAGTCCCCAGAAGGTGCACTTTCCAGTACCCCCTCTAAGGACTCCAGAAAGGGTGGATAATCTGAACTGCCGTTTGGTGCATAAGCACAAACGACAGTCAGAACCCGTCCCCCCATACGTAGGCGGAGGGAGGCCACCCTCTCATTCACCGGGGTGAACCCCAATACACAGGCACCAAGTTGGGGGGCAATAAGTACGCCCACGCCTGCTTGGCGCCTCTCACCAGGGGCAACTCCAGAGTGGAAGAGTGTCCAGCCCCTCTCAAGGAAACTGGTTCCAGAGCCCGAGCCATGCGTAGAGGTGAGTCTGACTATTTCTAGCCGGAACCTCTCAGCCTCACACACCAGCTCAGGCTCCTTCCCCACCAGTGAGGTGACATTCCACGTCCCAATAGCCAGCTTCTGTAGCCGAGGATCAGACCGCCAGGGTCCCCGCCCTCGGCCACCACCCATCCCACATTGCACCCGACCCCTTTGGCCCCTCCCACAGGTGGTGAGCCCATGGGAAGGGGGACCCACGTCTCCTCTTCGGGCTGTGCCCGGCCGAGCTCCATGGGTAAAAGCCCGGCCACCAGGCGCTCGCCCACGTGCCCCACCTCCAGGCCTGGCTCCAGAGTGGGGCCCCGGTGACCCACTTCCGGGCAAGGGAACACTAGGTCCATTTGTGTTTCTCATCATAGGGGTGTTTGGGCTGCACTTTGTCTGGTCCCTCACCTAGGACCTGTCTGCCATGGGTGACCCTACTAGGGGCATAAAGCCCCTGACAGCATAGCTCCTAGGATCATTGGGACACTCAAACCCCTCCACCACGGTAAGGTGGCAGCCCAGGGAGGGGCAGCTCTCATGTGATTTTCTAATTTTAGTCCAGCATCGACTTTGACCGACCCCCAGGTTTGTAACAGCTGGCCTGATGTACTGGGCCAAGGAACCAACATCTGCACTGGGAGTGTCGGTGGAGCTTCCCAAGACCATCACCTCAGTCCCTCATTAAACTTTAAGAAGTTCACAGCCATCCAGGCTTTGATGTCCTCCAGACATGAAGACAGAGGGGCCACAGACTTACAGTCCTGTTTCTTTAGCGGGTCACTGGATTAACACAATTTTATATTGTGCATTCTGATCTACTTTCATTTGTGTTGTACTGTTTGTAAAACTGCATCAAAGTGTGAGACCGGCCCGGCCCGCACATAAAGCACATTATGGCCCGGCCCGGTCTGGATTCGGGTCGGTCCGGTCCGGGCTTTGCACTCGGGCTAGAAATGACAGCTCTACGCTGTAGCTGTTGATTCAAAGTGTAAAAAAGCTTCTGTGTAAATATCTCATGCTACAACGTGGATACTAGTGGCTTACAGACAAGTGCAGCCTAGAAATGTACAAAATACATATTTTTAATTTAGTGTGTGCAGCTTATATTCAGGCACACTCAATAGTCCAGAAATTATGGTAAATGTTTTTTAATATTGGTAGTTAAAGTAAAATTATGTGAACATAAACCAAGTCTGTAGAAGCAACATGTACGTAATGCATGAAGGAGAGTGATACCATTTGAAAGATGAACGTCACGGTCCCACAGATGCGAACAGTCTTGTTAAAACGCAGCTCCAGATACTGTTGGAGAGAACAAAGAAAAACAAAAGAGAGCTAAATAAAAACTGGTAGTGCATATCATCTCAGAGGTGATTCGTATCTGACAGAGTGCAGCAAATCAGACTGTCGTCAAATTTAATCCACCGAGAGAGAGGGAGCTCGCAGGACACCGCTACAGTCGTCCTCTGATCAATGATGCGTGATGGAGAAAACGCTCCTTCACACATTTATGTTCAGAGACCGTGTTTCTCTGACTCTGTGGTCTCAGAGATCACAGAGGGTTTGTTAAACTCTGAGATCGTACTTGAGAAAGACAAGGATAGAAAGAGCTGGAGGTAAAGTGTTGAGAACAGAACACAAACACAGAAACAGTGGACATTAAAAACTATTTCAGATCTAAAATCACCTTTTGCAACAGCGGAGTTTACTACAAACACCTGGGTGTCAATGTTTGTTCTTATGTCATCAGGTTGGACTTTAGTGCATAAACACGTTTCAGATTAAACACAGATAATAAGCATGTACAGTGTAATGTCAGACTATAAGCTGCTGCAGTTTCCACACGCTCTGAACATGTGCTTCTACAGTGCTGAGGATCATTTATGGATTTGTTTTGTTGTTGATGGACTAACGAGCTTCATGACACCAGAACATTTAGGACATTTAGCCTCGTCACACCCGGACACTCACAGCTGTCCAATACACGTCCATCTTGGGGGGGGGGGGGGGGTCCATGTGACTCACTCAATGAGGGTAATATAAATAAAGGTTAAAACAACCTGAACAATGAAATTACCAAAGAGGTCACAGTGGAATGAAATGTGGGTTCACTGATCAACTCCCCATGGTGGCCCCAGGGAGGGGGGACAAAGTATTTGCAGCCACTCGAAGTAAGTTTGCCTGGAAGTGAAAGTGACGCTGAGAGCAACAAGGAAAGAGAAACTGAGGACGTGCGTGATAAAGTTGTTCTGGGGTTGTTCACTTCTGACACTGAAGAAGACTTCAGTGCTTTTAGTGCCCAGCAGGAAGATGAAGACGGTGATCAATGACTTCCTGGTAGGCTGCTGGTTTTATTTACCAGCCGTGCTACAGGCACTGTTCAAAAAGCATTTACTGTACAAACTGTATTTGTGTAAGTTACTGGTGTAGTGATGTAGAGTTAGTTTAGCTTAGGAGCTCCACTACAATCAATATTTAATAACGGGTTCTCTCTTTTTCGAGCTACTTGACAGATATGTGACAGAGGTACTGTGTTGGAGATGGTCTAATCAGTGACATGAGACGTTAATTTTCTTTGACCCATCAAAATAAATGTGGTCATTTATTAACAGAATCAAAATTTAACATCAAAACATTGTACACTTGATTATTCCGATCGGCTCTGATTAATAAAACTTGGCACGTTTTACTTAATAAAAACAACAGACATTTCTGAAGATATCTGGATTAATTACTGGCAAGATAGAAGAGTTTTAAAGATGGGAAATGAAGGAGTTTGAATGGAGAGAAAAGATGGATGAGGGAAAGTGTGTTAACGAAGAACGGCACCCTCCATCCGAACCCAGCTCAGCCTCGGTACACTCGGTAGTGAAGCGACTCGTTACCTTTGCAGAAGATAGGTCAGCTCCGGTACGGAGTTCCATTTCAACGCTACCTTTCAGCGTCTCCTTAGGATGGCTGAGAATCGTCCGAAGTAGTGACGGTACTCCGTTCAACAACACGCTCACCTCACGGGTGGACTCACATGAGCTGTGAGTCCGTCAGAGGTTCCACTCAGATGTGGAAGATTCCATAATCCCAACTAGACTCGGAAGAACTCCCAACTAAGTCCAGCACTTCAGAACTTTTGGAACTTCTGTTCTTCCCCCAGAACTAACTGGAACTAGGAAGTGTCGACTTTTAAAGAGTTCTGCTTCCGGTCACTTTTAGGAAGTCCTGATTGGTTGAAAGAACCAACAGGGGTGTGGTTTTAGTGACGTCAGAGGGTCACTACAAGTCAAGAAAACAGCAGGAATGTTTTAGAAACGTCCCGTACAGACAGAAGACATGTTATGGCAAAGTGGGAGGAAGCAGATGCCAGTAGCTTCTTATATACCGTCTGCTAGGTTTAAAAACAATCCACTTCGTTCTAATAACTTCTTTCTGACTTTCGACCGACATCACTACTTCTCATTTCAGACAGAAGATCAAAATGCATAATTACTTTGTAACAGACATTTAACTTGATTTCTACTTTGAATGAGGATTAAAAAATCATTAATACTGTTTCACAGTTGATTTAAAATGAGTGGTTCACTTCAACATTTAAAATGGTTTGAACTAAACACTTTTGATTATCAAGACATTGTAAAAATAGTAATGATAATATAAAAAAGAGAGTGTTCTTTCAATTGATTAGTTCAGGATACAATTAGACAGTCTCTGGATGAGCTAATTTGTATTTTTGGATTCAAATCAATGAAATAACAGTTCCTGTCCCATGAAGGTCTTCAGAGGCAGGTTTTGACCGGAGGCCGAGTTCACTACACTGGTACTTATTTAATTAAAAGTTTTAAAAAATTATTTTGAGTAAACATCTCATGTTACATCGAGGACACCTGCGGCTAACTGTATTATATACATACACATTTTTATTTTATTTTTATTTAGTAGGCTTGCTTATATTCAGGTGCGCTCAATAGTCTGGAAATTACAGTAATTATACAAGAATAAAACATCAGATGGAAAGAGACAGTTGTGTGCAAACTAGATGCGAGTACCTCGTAGGCACTGGACAGCCGAAGCCTGTAGAAGATGGGTATGAACACATGAGCAGGGATGAGCAGACCCAGGAAATAGGAGCAACCCAGGAACCAGTACTGTGTTCCAAATGCATAAACTTCAGACGGAGCGCCCAGTATGGCCACCGCAGACTGAAACGTGGCCAGCAGGGACAGAGACACAGGCAGGCAGCTCATGGAGCGGTCGGCCATCAGGAACTCCTGAGGTAGATCACATGTGTCAAACATCACAACTACACACAATCTGCACATTCACTGTGTGTGTGTGTGTGTGCGTGTGTGAGAGTGTGAGTGTGGGAACAGAATGTACCTGTGTTGTGCGCTGACGCCCACCAGAGAAGGCATAGAAGAGGCCAATGCCAGCAGAGGCCACCAGAAGCAGAACAAAAATCACATAGTCCACGGTGGTGAAGTGCATCTGGACTACGTCCCCCATGATGATGCTGGCTGTTGGAGGAGGAGGGGGGCTGTGTGAGAACAGCCTCAGGGGCTGATTATGACACCAAAGCAAGTTCTTAGTCCATGGACAGATTCCCTATAGGCCCAAGGATAAAAGAGGTCACCTTGTTGTCAGTGCGTACAGTGTGTGCTCTGCTCCAACACATTCTGCTCAGTGTCTGTGAAAACACCCGTCACCTGGTGTTTCCAACGTCAACCAGCTAATAACTGAATCAAGTGATACCGTAGTTCATCACCTGTAGGGGTTCAGTGCCTTGCCCAGGGACACTTCAACATGTGACTGCATAGTGGTGGAATTGAACCTCTAACTCTTCCACTGGAGGATGACTGCTCTAACCACTGAGCCACCGCAGCTGTGGCTGAGGAGAACTGATCGTTTCAACTAGAAACACCAACGTATTTTTCTGTGGACAGAAGATGAACCCTGCTCTTTCATTTGCTCAACAGAGAGAAGCTTCACTTCTAGTCCACGCTGTGTTCTGTTGCAAACAGCTCTCACATTTTAAAACAGCTCTCACATTTTAAAACAGCTCTCATATTGCTCTGCAGATGAACACCTTTTGTTTCTCTACTTCTCCTCACAGCATGTTGAAGAGCTGCCCCCCTCCTGACAGAGGAACTGAAGGGCAGGATTTGAGCCAACTCTTGTTCCTCCCACAGACTTTACTTATAAAGATCATAATGTAGCCGTGTTGCTCTCCGCTCACTCACTGTCTCACTGCTTACGTCTCACGTTTCTTTCCTAAATGACCTTAAAATGCAGAGTGAGCATTTAAACTCTCACTGAGTTTCAATGAAGCTCAGCTCAAAAATATATCTTCAGGACTTTGATAATCTGTCACTTTAAATTCTTCCAAAAGAAGTGCCAAATAACTGCTGGGCTTTAGAGAAGATGAATGAAGAGAAAATCATTTTTAATTTGTCTCAATAACTTTTCTCCGGGTACTCCGGTTTCCTCCCACCGTCCAAAAACATGCATGTTAGGCTGATTGGTAACTCTAAATTGTCCCTAGGTGTGAGTGAGAGAGTGAATGTTTGTTTGTCTCGTTTGTCTCTATGTGTCCCTGTGATGGACTGGAGACCTGTCCAGGGTGTCCCCCGCCCCTCGCACAGTGATTGCTGGACATGGGCACCGGCGACCCCCGTGACCCAAAATGGAATAAGCGGGTAAAGATAATGGATGGATGGATGGATGGATGTCTAAATAACTTCCTCTTCTGGTATTTTCCTTGATTTATTAGAATACCACATACGGCACATTATACACCAATCTACAAACTATTATACAACAATCTAAAGAAACGGCCTGGATCAGCAGAGACCTTAAACATTATTTGACCTTGATTTATGACCTTGCATTTAGAGCTGGGCAAAAAAAAAATGGACGTGACCCTCCATCTAGTGATGATGCGTATGTGTATGAATTTATGGGTGGGACAAGTGAAAGTTTAAGGATAAATGGACAGCTGGAGCCTACACTCTAATCTAATTGATGAGAATACAATAAATAATTCAAATGTAGACAACTAGATAAAATAAAACAATACATTTTTTAAAATCATACACATTTAGTGTAGGGCTCCATGCAATGCATGTAATAGGCCAGTTTTAAGCAAAGATGTGCAATGACTAGTGCTCAGTGCATGTGTTAGGGATGACTATCAGCTACTACTGCACAAAATGTTAGCCTAATATCTGTGAAATTTGCTAAACTGTAGTTGATTTGTTGAAACGTTAGTCATTGTGGATGCAAGTCCAATAATTCAATTCAGTTTGTTTATACAGCACGGAGTCACAACAGAAGTCATCTCAGAGCACCGAACAGAAACATTCACACATAAAATAAAAATTTAACTTTATTTATCTGAGGAGCAGCTTTGAGTTTAACTCCATCACTGAACTCTCATCTTGAACAAGCATGAAGGCGACAGTGGAAAGAAAAACTCCCTCATGTTCCCGTGAAGTGCCCTGAGACAACTTTGTTGTAATATGGCACTATATAAATAAACTGAACTGAATTCATGAGGAAGAAACCTTTAGCAGAACCAGGACCAGCACAAGAGGACCATCTGCTTCGACCGGCTGGGTTTGGTAGGAACAGATACACAATGGCAGGTCAAGAATTACATGTTAAGATAGAAATACAGTAATTGCTTTGAGTTTCATTCTCATGTGTCCTGTTATTCATGAGATTATCCCTGAACAGCGTTTGAAAATAAAATTTCTCTAAAAGTTGAAAATATGTCAGTGTGCAAAGCTCAGACAGGTGAAGCATTTCATTGAATGAAATATGACTAATCTTGCTTTACAACCCTGAACCATGCAATTAAACCCCAGAGTAGCTTGGTACCACAGAGCTAGCCTTTACAGCACAGGCACTCTAACAGTACAGATTTACATTTATACATCTGCTATGGAGTCCAAAAGAGGCTGAGATGAGGTACAGGTACGGCAGCTGACATGGGACCAGAAAGTCATGGTTCGACTCCCAGCCATCCCACATGTTGTGGTGTCCTTGAGCAACACACCTAATCCCTAATTATTCCCAGGTGCTTACATAGCTGCCCACTGCTCCACCTGGGTGTATCTCAGGTGCGATGGGTTAAATGCAGAGAACCAATGTCGTCATTGTATAAAAAACATACAATGATGACAACATATAGTACATAAAAGAACCGGACATTCTTGTTATATGTAGTAAAATACAGCCCAGCACTTCTGTGCATGTAAACAACCCATACATGTTAAGCAGATAAGAGTTTGGAATTTGGGTCTAAGGGCCATGTCACGCTGCTTCTACCAGGAAACTTGACATCAATCCCAGATGCCCCTGGAGGAGCAGTGTGCAGCCCAGCTGCCAAAAGCAGCAATGCTAAATTCAAAAAGGAATATGGCTCGCAGCAAGCCATTTGTTTCTGCACTAGTTGGCCAAGATTGATTTTACAAGAGCCGTGCCTTTAAACTACACAAAAGTAAAAAACAGGGACATGTCCTTTGAAAGGACACACGCCGGTTTACCATGAGGTTAAATAAACCTGCTGCACAGTAAACTCACACTGAGATTTAGCAAACACTTTGTCTCCTCTTATAACATAACCTTCATTTTTATTGTCTATAATAATAAAAAACAAGATAATTAGCTCATTTGAAGGTCTTTAGTGTGTGCACGTGTTTCAGGCTGTGGTGGTGATAGTGTTGTTATGAGTATCAAAACAAGATCACAAGAAGGTCGGATAAAGTGTTGCCTGGCAACACAGATTGTAGATTACAACAGTTAGCTTTGCTGGTGGCATGAACCCTCCACTACATCTAATGAAAAAAAGATCACAGCTGATGTTTGATGTTGGCCTGATGAGTGAAGGAAGGTTTGAAACTGTACGGAAGAGTCCTGAACGAGGCCAGTATAAACTGCTCTGCTGCCGAAGGTGCTGCACAGAAGGGTAAAAGTGACTCAGAGGACCACTCGATGTAACTTTCATTCTCTGAAGGACATTACACCAACAGGAGCAGGGCAGCTTGCATCATGAAGGACCCCACCCACCCACCCGGCTCATAAACTGTTTGACTCCCTCCCCTTGGGCAAAAGGCTTAGGCTGAGCGATATCTTGACATTTTACAAATACTGCGATAATATCATACGCAATATAAAATGAGAGTATATCGATAGAGAACAATATAGTCTCATACTAAACGTAGAGTTACAATTACACTTGAAAATCCACCAGTTTTTCTCCCAGTCCGCACCTTCACCGCCCCTCCTCTACCTCACTGAATACAAACCCAAATGTGATGTAAACGATGATGTGAAACATGTTGCATGTTATTAAAGTTGAAAATGAAGACATCAGGTTTAATTTTTATTTATTCAACACCACAACCTGTATGTCACACAAACACTGATAATTATGATGAATGTACAAAATTCACTGCGCCAACTAACGACCTGGCACGGCAACTACAACGGATTCAGGGGGAGTTCCCCAGCTGCATGTAAACATCAAATCTGCTCCATGCCAGCGCAGATGTTTCTCCTCGAATCAACATCTGAACAAAACTACTTTTCCCCTGTGGTGTCCGTGTAAATGGGACCTTTATTTGAGTTATAAAGCTGAGCTAAGCTAGAAGCATATCCATCCATCCATCCATCCATCCATCCATCCACCCATCATCTTCCGCTTGTTCCGAAGTCAGGTCTCGGGGGCAGCAGCTTGAGCAGGGAGGCCCAGACATCTCTTTCCACAGCCTCCTTCCTGCTCTTCTGGGAGGACTCCAAGGCGTTCCCAGGCCCCCTTCTGCTTCAAGGAATCGCTGATCATCATCACAGCGGACTACGCTCTGAGTATGGTCAGAGCTCGGAGGGCATTTACGGAGATGAAGAGGCTTCTTTGCAGCCGGCAAGGTGTCCGCTATGGCTATTTTTACCTGCACAGCTTCATTACATACGATGGTGTGGATAAGGAGTTCATTGACCCGGCGAAAGCCTTGGTCTGTGTTAAAAGGAACATCGTCTCAGAAACAAGCGGCGAGGATGGTAAGAAACAGTAGGGTTGGCTTCCCTTAATAAGATTTTCTTTCCAGGTTAATCTGGCCTGTGCAGGGGCTGATCAACTGGTGGCCCACGGGCCAAGTCAGGCCGTGGGTGATCTCAATTCAGTCCGCCAATAGGTTAATTTTGAAAAGGGGCTAGATTTAAAACCATGAAACATACCATTTGGGATAGATAGAGTTTATAAAGAAACAGTTTTGTCAAACTCTATAACATACTTAATTAATAAACTTATATTTTACAAAAGGGCTATTTTCTGATATCTTCAAAAAAGGACTTATAACTCCAATTTTGAAACCTGGCGACTCCGAGCACATTATTAACTATAGACCAAGAACTATTTTACCAGCAATATCCAAAGTGACTGAAAAAGCAGTAGCAGAGCAGCTAATAAGTTATTTAGAAAAAAAAAATCTGCTTCTTTGTCCAGT